TCTAATGCCTAGTTGAATTAAACATTGTAAAATACCAAAATTATATATGACAATATTTGAGAATTTATTGTATTTTCATTAATCTGTAAAGTGGAATATATATAGAAGTTACAATTGATATTACATATTCACTTAGATTACTATTTACATTTTAACTGATATATAAATATATAACTCACAACAACGTTGATGTCCCCACCCACACTAAATTTCAAATCATATTAATATACTTTTCCCCGCCCCGTTATTCTCACACATCCCTTCACTCTCTTGTCCCTAACCCTAACCTAATCCCAATCATAATCAACTAATTAAAGGTGGTGAGAAGCACATGACATGAGTGCTATTCTGCCAAACAAAGTTGGCATAGTAATAGAACTGCCAACGGCGGAGGAAGTAACAAGGCTAGGGTGGGCTACAGCATAGGGAGAGTTTTAGTTGTTTAAGGTTAAAAATATTGATAATTTAGACTATTATATTATTTTTAATTATTATAGCCTACCTAACAAGTAAAAGTTCTGAAAAGTTTAACTACTTTTAGAAAAGGTAAGAGTTAATAAATATTAAATAAATGATTTACTTTAATCAATATGAAAATTTATTATTATTATATTTCAAATTGTACACACACTAACAAACACGTCCCAATAAGTCTATTTATTTGATTAGTTTATAGGGAGTAGTCTATAGTGATTAGTTTAGGTTTCCTAGGAGCAGTCATCCGGTTTTAAAAAGTAGATTTAATATTTTATTGATTTAGGTTTCCTAGGAGTAATTTATTGTTTTCTTTTTCGACTTTTGGAGTACAACAGTGACCCTATTTCACTTTTCAGTTTAGAAAGCCTTTATCCTGTCTTGTCTGCAGTTCATAGAAACCAAGCATATAAGTGAGAAAGTTTATTGATTTTTCTCATCAATAGGTAAGTTTTTGACCACTTTATTCTTATATCTTGATGATTTTATTTGTTTATTGCTTTAATTTTAAGAGTTCGTATAATCATACTTTAAAAATTCAATTTCAAGTTTAATATAGTTTTTCTAATAGTGTGATAGATTTCTTAGAAATATAATTTATTATATAAACTTGTATTATTAAAAGAAGACTTCGCAACAAGATGGAGAGTGAATTTCTAGCAGATTCAATGGTTGTGTACATTGAAAAAGAGTTTGCCTAAAAGATTGATTCAGAAGAAATAACAGAGGATTTCAATTCCATTAAGGATCGAATGGCGCAACTTGAATAGGTACTTTTTCTTTTATTTGTTAAGTTGTTATAACAAGATTGATGATGTATGTTTCTTTTTACTATAAGTTGCAACTTCAAATGTTTTCTTTGTTAAATCTAGTTGAAACTTGCTTTATTCGTAGTTAAATTTCTTTACTTTAAATTATTACTTTTAGGCTTTTTATTGTGTAACTTTATGTAAGTAACAAAAAAAATTTAACCATTTGATCTCCTCGTAATAATTTTAGTTTAGCCCGCCCACTAAATAATTTCTGGCTCCGCTATTGAGTACCGCTACCACTAATTTAAACGAGTTGGTTGGTTTTTGTAGCCATCGTACTCCTTTGTTTTTCTCTTACGATACCTTGCTTATCCTACTAGTTTTTCCTTCATATATATGCAAAAACTAATACTTGGCAGCATATATATTATATTAAACATTTTTTCTCAGTATAGTGAAAAAACGTCTAGTCAAATATCTTTGTGGGGTCGTTGTAGGGGACTACGGATCCTTTTTGTGCATATCTCGAAGATTGATAAATTGTGTCTGTTCATCGTATATCGTGCAGTCATAATTCATTTTAAGCTTTTTTTAATTTAAAATTGAATACAAATAGTACCTGACGAAAACTGATCGCATGATGTATGATAAACGAACATGATTTATCAACCTTTGAAATCTTCACAAAGAGAATCTGAAAAGAATCCTATTCGTTGTAGGTGATGGCTGCATGACAAGCTAGAAGGAAGGTTGAACGTCCCTAGCCTTCAATTATCACACACACGTACACACGTACACATATACACACATATATACCTAACCATACGCAATATTAATTTATAGCACCACTTTCCCTTAATACCATTAAAATTTTCAGCCCACAGAAGCTCTAACCCTCTGCCTATTCCCAGCACCTGGTTTTGCTTAGTTTCCTGCCTCCTTTGGTACTTAATTAATTAGATTTAGACCCCCAAGCTTTGTTTTAATGCATGTCACTAGACAACCCAAACTAACAAGCAAAATATATAGGGATGGCAACTGGTATCAACTCCCATCCCATATATCTTTAATAAATATGGCCTGCCTGCAACTTGATCCTACTGTAGATAGTAACTGGGTAGCAAGCGTGTAATACCGTATCTTCTCAATTGGCACGTTGGATTGGATTGGATTATTCAGTCTGTATTTGGTTGTTGCTAGTATTAAAAACCCACCATTGATATCCAGAACTAGATGAAGCATTGTTCATAACTATACCGCTTGTGAAACTCAAGTCTTGCACTACATAATAATAATAACAATAATAATAATAATAATAATAATTGGACGGAAAACAGTGCAAAAAAACTTTGGGCGGAAACTTAGGTGTCACTGGCTTTGACAAAATTAATTGGACGAAAATACCCCTCGGCCAAAAAAATTTCAAAGCATGAAATATGAATGCATAAAATAATCCAAGGGTAATTTGGTATATTTATTTCTAAATAATTTTGTCATAATTGGGATGAAGCAGCCAAAATTTTGGGGCCACTCTTGGTTGGACCAAAAAGCCCCTCCGCCATAAAAAATACAACAACAAAATTCAATGCAGTAAGGGTAATTTGGCTATCATAAAATATAATATAAATATAAGTGGGAAGAGATAACAGAATAAAAAAATGAAAGGAAGAAAGAAAAGAATAAACAAATGACAAAAACATTTAAAATGTATATATCACGGCTAGAGCCCTGTAATTCAAAAAATGCATTTTGTACGCGATTGTTTATTAAATATTATTTCTCAATTTTTAATTAAGAGGTGCATAGTGCTAGTTATAAAAAAGTTTTTCGCACGCGTATAATAATGTGATTCAATTAGTTGTCAAATGATCATTTTTTTCTTTATAAAAAAAGTCTTTCGCATGCGATAATAATGTGATTAAATTAATTGTCAAATGATTTTTTTTTAACAAATAATATTATATATACTAAGGGAGAGGGAGTGCACTTAGCGTCATAATGGGCTAACAATAATGTAATTCAATCAATTGTTTATTAAATATTATTTTCTCTATTCCTAATGTAAATTTTATACAAACCGATTTTATTATGTTAATTCAGCGACTTTAATTGATTTATGAGGGGTTTGTTCTAGCATGATCGAAAATTATTCATTTACTTCAAATATTTAATTTTCCTTTTGTCAATTTACATACATAAATACATTTAAAACGTGTAAGTCGCATATGGCACGCGATTCAAAAAAATGCCATTTGCACACACGTGAACGTGTTCGTGAAGGCTAGTAATAATAATAATAATAATATTTAGACGTAATCGTATATCCATTGCCAATTGATTTTGGATTTCATATTCTTCATTATTATTATGCAAAAAATCTTCCATCGATTTTCTTGTCCTCGCTAGCATAAAAATTTGAGCATGTTTTCACTCCATACGACTTAATTGGCTGACAATTCAATCCCAAATAATTAAGGATACAAAATGAAATGATTAGAACACGTTTAGGTTTTAGGTTCTTTTTGAAGGGTTATTTATGTAAACAATTAACTAAATTTGAAATTTTTAGCCATTTGATTATTTTGTATTTTTATTTCAATCTACGCGTTTTAGATGACCAAATAATTTTAGATCTAAACTGATTTTTGGTAGGTAGTATGAGAAAGAGGATCTAAAATATAGATATATAATTTAGATTGTCAAAAAGGGTAGTGTTATTTCTTTTCTAGTACATCAAATCATCTTAAAGTCATGTCATAAAACTTCAAAGTTTAGAAACTAATATAGTTCCAACTCAGAGATTAGTAACTTCAAAGTTCTATGAATTTTGTCTTCAACATTCTTATCTGGTTATTAGCCATAATGTTAGGAGATCAATTTTTAAGACTAAATTTTATAAATCATATGACGTGATTATTGATAATTGAATTATTACTTAAGTGTTGATTAACATGTTTATTTCTTATTAGTGACGCATCATATTATTTACAAATTTGATCTTCCTAACATTACTCAAAACAAATATATAGAAGTGATCGGTATGATTTGACTCAGGCTAGTTTGTAAAAGCTCAAAACTACAACCGAACCAAATCATTATGGTTGAATTTGGCTATGGACCATTTGGTAAAAATCAAACTAAACCGTTTACTACAATGGATTAACAGGTTTAGTTGGTTCAACCAGATTGATACCCACCCCTGCACCATAAAGTTAAAAGATATTATTATGACATAGAAGATTGGTTGCATGGAGATAAGATTATAACCAATTGTGATTCTACTGTATCACAATAGCAACGTTTAAAACAGTAGGATTAGGATTCGGGAAGTGGGAAGTGGGAAGTGGGAAGTGGAGGGCGTACTAAAAAAGGCAAAGAAAATGAAGAAAGACATACCTTAAACATGAGGTTTACTTGCTCAAGTCAGTAACATTTCGTGTTGTCTCATTCTAGTCCACCTAGTTGGCTCCTAAACAAAATAATATAAAAAATCTAAAAATTTAAATTTTGTTTTTATTTTTGTTTTGTTTATAATTAGATACAAGCCTCGAACACATGTACAGTGATAGATAAATTTTTATGAATATCAGAAACACTACTCACGTGGTATATTATTTCACGTATTATAATAAGAGTGACGACATAATTGTTATATTCCACTTATAGGGTATATTAACAATGACATGTGGCAGTGATCTCGATGCACTGAAAAATTGCTCCTAGGCACTTAGTTTTTTCTCTCTTATATACCTAGCCATTCAGCTCCTTACCCTTTAAGTGCACCTCACCCTTTAAATTCTTATAGTGTGCTCCCTCTTCCCACTCAACACAATCACCTCACGCTTTAAATTCTTATAGTGTGCTCCCACTTCCCACTCAACACAATCATGTCTAGTTTTTGCACTTCTCCTCCTATGATGATGAAGGGGTGGTTTTCAGGCTTATTGAGAGCCGCATTCAGGTGTGAAGAGGTTGTTTCTTTGTGGGTTTTGGCTGCCATTGGTGATTCCAGCGGCGGAGCTTTGGGTCGAGTCACAAAACGAGTTGTTTTTGCTGCATATACCTGCATTCTTGCACTAGGTATGTTTCTAAGCTCTTGGCTTAATGTATTCTGGCGCATTTTAGTACCGTCGAGGTTTCTTTAAAACAAAACCAAATTAAAATTGTTTTGGTGCCGCCTAAAGTTGATATTTTCAACTATCCCATTGTCTTGGTTTGTGAAACTTAAACAAATTCATATGATCGTTTTGCAGGAGGAGCTATAGTGGGAGCAATTCATGGAGCCATTAAAGGCCAGACGACGGAGACCGGGCTTCTTAAAGGTGCTTGCATAGGCAGTTTGGCAGGGGCTATTGCTGCCATTCAATTGATGGATTTGGCAGTGGACGGCGAGTCGTTGTCTAAGGTAACACCTTGTGCACGTAAAGAGCATGCACATAACCGCACATACGACTAGAGTTGGACTCTCGTTCTCGTTCTCGTTTTTACGTGAATATTAAAATTGGTCGAAATCTCGATTCTTATAGTAATTTTTATAATTTCCCTTTATAGGTTGCTTTCTTGGGAGGGATCGTAAATGGGAAGGTGTTTATGGAATGGGTGAATTCTTCATTGCTAAAAGCCTATCACTGGCAAGTGAGTAGCATGATTTCTCTACCTGAACGATCATTTAGTATTTTTTTTTTCCCTTGCTAAATAATTAATTAATTACTTAATTAATTAGGGTTACAATGGCAAACTTATTGAGCAGGTTAGCAATCTGGAAACAACTTACAGAGAGATTTCTGAAATCTATGACGTTGCTGGAGTGAAGGGATTATCCCAGGATTGCATTCAAAAGCTCCCTCAAAGTACATTTTACAGCAGCAGCAGCAATATCATTGATTCATGCAGTGAATTTTGCTGCTCAATTTGCTTACAGGTGGTTTCCAAACATATCTTAATTGCAATCTAAATTATTACGCAAAAGGTTTGAAAAGTAGTTGCATCCGTTTTTTTTATAGATATCTATTGGCCCATACATCTGTGAGCTAACATTTCAAGCAGACAACCATAAGTCTATTCCAATAATGCCCCAAGAGACGAGGGAGGGTGGAGAAATGAGTTAAAAATAGATTAGGCAAACGGTTCAAATGCCTCTAATGTAACAAAGAAAAGTTCTATTAACACCGCAACTGCAACGGTGTCCTTATAATCCTCCTCTGGTGGGAGGGCCAAAACATATTGGGATTAAGTCCGTCTCATAGAGCCAGAGGAGACTTGTTTTCTTTAATATGTAGGATAATTGTCCAATTTAATGAGTCTAAGCCCGAACAATTTTAAGATCACCAAACATAAACTAGAAAACGTGTTCATTTTATTGAATTTGTTTCATGTTCATTTCACCAAACCAGACCAGACCATAACCTAACCAATTAGGTTAACACTAATCACTATTTATCCCGATGTGATTTTGATGTTTATTTATATTCGCAGGAATTGAAGGAAGGAGAGAATGCAAGAGAACTTCCCATTTGTGGCCATATGTTCCACTTGGCATGCATAGACCAATGGCTAAAGCAACAAGCCTCTTGTCCTATGTGCAGACTACACGTCCACATTTAAAACGTAGTAGTAGATAACTACCACGGATGCCCGTTGGTTGTGGACGAATTTCAAGCCTGTACTCAATCACACGGTGGTGGTCAGGGAAAAGCTGAAATATTTTTGCAAGTTTTCCTGACTCCTGAAAAAGTGGACTGTTGTGGTGAAAGCAACAAGCCTCTTCTTTTTTTTTTTTTTTTTTTTAAACAAAAAACGTAGTAGAATTTAGGGATTGCTTGTATGGTCCAAGCCCCCAAGGTGTTCTATATACTGAGGTTTTTAGTTGTTGAATTCTCTGTACTATTGCAAAAAGATGTAGTAATTTCGGAAAGTAAGAATTTTGTACTCTTTTTGTTTGAGGAAAAATATTTCTTTATTAACATCCATGCATGAATCATTTTCGTTTTTAATACATTCAAAAGCCTATTAAACACATTATTAAAATATCAATATCTATTTAAATTCAAATTTATATTATAATTTTCAACAATTAGACCTTTAATTAAGCGTTCAATGACCAAAATCTAATGGACAAAATTCAATGTATAGAACGGAGAGTAGAATTTTCGTAAATCCCATCCTACTTTTTTAACAAAGAAAGTAAGAAAGGAATACCAATGATCGGGTGCTAAATTATTGAAAAAACGTTTTACTCAAGCTTTTGGATTTAAACAAATTGGTAAAAAGCACATTAACGAAAAGAACTACAACTCCTTCGTGGAGCTTTACTACTATGCATGCAAACTAGACGGCTGAATCCAATTTTTTTAGAAGAATCAAATCATACGAGTGACATTATCTACACACTTATTTTTACTTCTAGCATACCTTTTTAATTTTGGCCGTTAAAACTCGAAACGAATGAATCGAAGAATATCAATGGACAAAAATTAACAAGGGTATGTGAGGGGTAAAAAGGGTGTGTGAATAACACTAGCCAATCATATATGACAATCTATATTACCCCACCATCTAATGCGCATTACATATCGAAAAAGAGAGTTGATTTTCACATATTTTTTAACCTCACATATTTTTCTTTATTTTCAATCATCTGATTAAATACATCAATGAAAATAACGAAATAAATTAAGCATGAGTGTGTAGAAGGAGACAAAAAGTGTCTTTATAATTAAAAGGAGAAATTAGGTTCTCATCTCTCTTTTTTGTATTACATTGATTAAAACCTTATTTCTTTGTAATTATTTTATCAAGGTCCTTAGGTTTTAATGAATGTCATTATTTCAATATACAATGTGACATCCCACATCGCCCAGGGGTGATCCTTAAATGTATATTTCCATCCTACCTAGCACGAGGCCTTTTGGGAGCTCACTGGCTTCGGGTTCCATGGGAACTCCGAAGTTAAGCGAGTAGCGCACGAGAGCACTCCCAGGATGGGTGACCCATCGGGAAGTTCTCGTGTGAGTTCCCAGAAACAAAACCGTGAAGGCGTGGTCGGGGCCCAAAGCGGACAATATCGTGCTACGGTGGTGGAGCGGGCCCGGGAAGTGGTCCCACCCGGGCCGGGATGTGATATTGGTATCAGAGCCTATCCCTGGCCGGAAATGTGCCGACGAGGACGTCGGGCCCCTAAGGGGGGTGGATTGTGACATCTCACATCGCCCAGGGGTGATCCTTAAATGTATATTCCCATCCTACCTAGCACGAGGCCTTTTGGGAGCTCACTGGCTTCGGGTTCCATGGAAACTCCGAAGTTAAGCGAGTAGCGCACGAGAGCACTCCCAGGATGGGTGACCCATCGAGAAGTTCTCGTGTGAGTTCCCAGAAACAAAACCGTGAGGGCGTGGTCGGGGCCCAAAGCGGACAATATCGTGCTACGGTGGTGGAGCGGGCCCTGGAAGTGGTCCCACCCGGGCCGGGATGTGATATTTTTTAAATTATTCGTACTTTTATATTATTTCCTTTAGCTTCCGCACTGTGCACATGGCTACGTCACTGCCACGTGACGGCCAGCATGCCCTGATCTCGGTTGGGGTGTGTCAGTTTGGTATCAGAGCCTAACCCTGGTCGCGTGTGTGCCGACGAGGACGTCGGGCCCCTAAGGGGGGGTGGATTGTGACATCCCACATCGCCCAGGGGGTGATCCTTATATGTATATCTCATCCCTACTTAGCACGAGGCTTTTTGGGAACTCACACGAGAACTTCCCGATGGGTCACCCATCCTGGGAATGCTCTCGCGCGCTACTCGCTTAACTTCGGAGTTCCCATGGAACCCGAAGCCAGTGAGCTCTCAAAAGGCCTCGTTCTAAGTAGGGATGGGATATACATATAAGGATCACCCCCTGGGCGATGTGGGATGTCACAATCCACCCCACTTAGGGGCCCGACGTCCTCGTCGGCACACACGCGACCAGGGTTAGGCTCTGATACCAAACTGACACACCCCAACCGAGATCAGGGCATGCTGGCCGTCACGTGGCAGTGACGTAGCCATGTGCATAGTGCGGAAGCTAAAGGAAATAATATAAAAGTACGAATAATTTAAAACTAGCATATGTAATGTGATAAAATAAGTGCTAGCGTAAGTGAGACGCTGAATTCAGAGCCTAAAGACTACAGCAGTCCAAAGAAAAGATACAACAATAGTGCACCCGAAGGTGACCCTACATCGGTGAGTGTCTGTCAGAAATGCCTGGACGTCCTCTAGGAAAACCACCGAACTCGCAAAGCTACTAGAACCTGGAGGGGCGCAAAACAAAAAGCGTGAGTGGGCAAAAACAAATCCTTTGAAAACCATTTCATAAAATATATTCTAACCCCTCGCCGTAAAACCTGTATACTTCCTAGAAAATAAACATATATACGTAGGTATAAATATGCCAGATATGCTCAAGGGTATGCCATCATGATAAAATGCAAGTGCTCAGGTATAAACCGTATCAATAACTTATCACTGGCAGCCGAAGTCACCTAAAGTGACCTGTACGGCTGAATCTAGAGCTCAAATCTCAATCTCCACAACTAAACCTGCCCACGAGTCGGAACCACCTATAGTGGTCTGTACGACAAGCCTGGGTGCAATACATATAAACGCTCTAGTGCTACGATCACGTGAAGGCTGTGCGAATAATCGCGGGTCGCCTACGAGTCGGAACCACCTATAGTGGTCTGTACGACAGGACTGTGCACCTAACTTGGATCCAAGCTGAGCGTATGGTGCGGGAGGTGAACAACACGTGAAGGACTGTGCCCTACTCTGGGCGGGAGCACTAACACCGAGGGTGCAGGTTATGAGCTCTCTAAGCCTCTCGAATCACCATTTAATGCAAATGTTAAATAACGCTTACCTGGCACTTACCTGCGCCTCCACAGCACCAAATATAAATGAATAAATATAATAACCATATATGCAACTAACCATGCATAATAACGAATTATATAAAGAAACGGCATATAACGAATAAGCATTTATACTAATTTCTGGGAATTATATGTATATAGGTATATACGGAAAACCAAAAGCCTACTCACTGGTATGTGGAAGGGTCGTAGCCCCCCTGCCTCGAGTGTGCACGCTCGTCCTCGGGATACGTGTCACCTATATGCGAATTAACTATAAAAACGTTAACTTTAAAGCACATAACCTTCCGTTCAAAATAACTTCTCATACATTGCTCAAAATGGACAAATGAATATACCAACGTGATCTACACAACCTCAGGATCACAACCATATTTTTAAAATAATTTTTGGACCTCTCACGCGCCCCCATGCGCCAAAATAGGCACGGACCTACGCGCCCCCACGCGCGGCCACGTGCCATGCACACTGACAGTGTCAATTGATGCCGTCAGGAATATTCCGTTAAACTAACGGAATATTCCGTTAAACCTAAACAGACGCCGTTACTGCCGTCAGGAATATTCCGTTAAACTGTGACATCCCACATCGCCCAGGGGGTGATCCTTATATGTATATCCCATCCCTACTTAGCACGAGGCCTTTTGAGAGCTCACTGGCTTCGAGTTCCATGGGAACTCCGAAGTTAAGCGAGTAGCGCGCGAGAGCATTCCCAGGATGGGTGACCCATCGGGAAGTTCTCGTGTGAGTTCCCAAAAACAAAACCGTGAGGGCGTGGTGGGGGCCCAAAGCGGACAATATCGTGCTACGGTAGTGGAGCGGGCCCAGGAAGTGATCCGCCCCGGACCGGGATGTGACAATTTGGTATCAGAGCCTAACCCTGGTCGCGTGTGTGCCGACGAGGACGTCGGGCCCCTAAGGGGGGTGGATTGTGACATCCCACATCGCCCAGGGGGTGATCCTTATATGTATATCCCATCCCTACTTAGCACGAGGCCTTTTGAGAGCTCACTGGCTTTGGGTTCCATGGGAACTCCGAAGTTAAGCGAGTAGCGCGCGAGAGCATTCCCAGGATGGGTGACCCATCGGGAAGTTCTCGTGTGAGTTCCCAAAAATAAAACCGTGAGGGCGTGGTGGGGGCCCAAAGCGGACAATATCGTGCTACGGTGGTGGAGCAGGCCCGGGAAGTGATCCGCCCCGGGCCGGGATGTGACATACAACATAATTACATTAAATTTCTATAATAATCATTTAGTGTGAAAAAAAATTACATATGGTATATTTATATTTGATGGCTAAACTTTGTATCATATATTTATATTTTTAGTTTGTACCCACTTTTAATTTGCAACCCTTTTTTTTTCAAATTTGTACTATTTTCTTATGTTTTAATTTGTACTCATGTATTAATTTCTTTTTGTGTCCATATTTTTAAAAATTTCATTTGTACTCATAACTTTTTAATCTTCTATTTGTACCCTAATTTATTTATAATGTCCTCATTCTTTTTTATTAATCTACCACTTTGTTATACGTAAAATGTACCAATTTTTTAATGGACACATTCTTTTGCCATTTATTATTTCATATTGTTACATAGCTTTTATCCTTTTAATCAATCAAAATATTTCAATTTTTTTATTGTAGCAGTTTCTAATAGTATTATTTGAGGGATTTTAAATTTATAAGATTATAAATTTCATAAGATATATAACAATTAATGTCAAAACTATAGCAATATAAACATTAATAGTAATATAATGAGGTGTACAAAGTCATTAAAGTTTTAGTGTCATTAAAGTAATATAACAAAGGATTTTGATCAAACTTTGAATGCTATTAAAATTTTAGTTAAAAAATGTTAGAGACTAAGAACCGTATGCAAAGTATCTTAATTAAAATATGTATAATTTTTGTGCTGATCAATAGGATGGTTAGAGCTTAACCAAAGTAGCCTAATAACAAAAATGAAGTACAGCCCAAGAGAAAAAAAAAAAAAAAAGGGGGATCTGAGCAGACAAAAAATACAAAGAAAAAAAAAATGACAATATAAAATGCCAGTGAGTGACGCAGTCGCCAGTCACCGTTCACCAACCATCAGCACAGCTGCACTTTAGCAGTCGCACAAGTCCAACAGAGACCAACACAGACTCCCACAGAGAGAGAGATGGCGTGGTGTGCGGCAAGGACCTACCACATGCCGGCGGTTGACATGGGGGCATTGCGCACCCGAGCTCCGTTAGCCGCCGGCGCGGGCTTTGCCTCGGTCGCTGGCTCCACTTTCTGGCGATCCTTGGCTTCATCGAAGCCCTCCTCTCGCTTCGCTTGCTTAGCCATTTCCACCGACGCTCGTAACTTCCAACTCTTTTAATTTCTCTTTTGTTTTAATTTAATTGGATTTCTCATGCTCTGTGTTTGGTTACATGGATTAGAAATTGGATTCCTCTGATTGGTTGTATAATTTGAATCTCCATTTGATCAGTTGTGGATAAAGTATTGAACTTTTCGTGTGAAATTAACATGGGCAGCTTTTGTTTGGTTGGATTTAGGAATTAAGGAAGCTGTCCACACTGAAAAGGCTCCCGCTGCATTGGGACCGTATTCTCAGGCAATCAAAGCCAACAACTTTGTCTATGTGTCGGGTTGTCTTGGTCTGATTCCCGAGGTTTGTATCTTGGATTTTTGTTTTGTGTCTTGGATTTTTGTCCTTTTTTTTTGTCATTTTAATCCATCAATGTTGGTATGAACTGGATGATATTATGAACTTATGTTGTGTGCTTAATTGCAGACCGGAAAGTTTGTATCCGATGATGTTGAAGATCAGACAGAGCAGGTATTGTTGATGCTCTCATGTGTTGGTTACACTTGTGTGGTTTATTGGGATGTGAGATAATCATATGTTCATCGATTTTGTGCTTTTATTTTTATGCATTTGGTTGGTGAAAACCGATAACTTAATGGCGATTTAGAAGTGACAGTTGATGGAAATTTGTATGCTGTTTGAGAATTTAGTGGTTGCAGGATCTTAAACTGTCAAGAATTTCACATTCCTCCAAAATGATGATGGCACTAAGCTAAGTCATAAAGAGATAACTAAATGCCGGTTATTGCTGTATACCTTATAATTATATCTCTTTAATATTTCTAGTCTGAGTCCCTATTTAGTAATTGCCAACACTAAACATCTTAAATTATAGTAACCATGCAAACCTTCGTCGAGGAGAAGTTAAATTTGTTAACTCAATTGCTGTTTTTAAGCGTTATCGTCTTAACAAGAGAGTATAGTTCATAGCATTGCTGTGTGACTGCGTTTGATGGATTTGGGTTTATGAAACTAATGCAGGTTCTAAAAAATATGGGGGAAATACTGAAAGCAAGCGGGGCCAGCTATTCCTCTGTGGTTAAAACGACTATTCTGTATGGATTTGTTTTTTCTTTGCACAACCTTGATTAGAGACTTAAGTGTTGGAGATGAAATTAGTTGTCTCTTGTGTCCATGCAGGTTGGCTGATTTGAAAGACTTCAAGAAAGTCAATGAAATCTATGCTAAATGTGAGTTATCTAGATATACAAATTTGATATTGGAGATTTAATTCTTAATTAAACTGTGGGTTTTCTATCTGCATAAAACTGTAAGCCATAAACGTATCGAGGTATTGATAGGAGGTAGAATGAAGTTGACTTTAACTCTTTAACTTTTTGTTTACTTGAGCTAATTTCATTCGCCACATTCTTACGCTCAAATTACCTTGCAGAAACAGATCTGCCTCTGCTTAATTTTGGCAACCGTTTACTTGTTCATTTAACTTGACTTATATCATATGGTTTTGTTTGCAGATTTTCCATCTCCAGCCCCAGCGCGTTCAACATTTCAGGTAGCGGCACTGCCACTGGATGCCAAGATTGAAATTGAGTGCATTGCAGCGCTGTAACGTCGTAACCTACAGCTTTTTCTCAGCAACTTAGATAATAATGTAGGAGGTGACATCTTTCAGTGTTGGGTTTCACTTTTTCCTCAATGGCCTCATGCACGTTGTTGTTGTTGTAACATCGGTTTTTGTATTCTAAAACCTAAAGAGCGAGACCAATGACGTTATTGAAATGGAACTTTCCTTCCTTTAGTCTTGAGTAATTATAATTGGGTTTATATTTCACTTTATGATGCTATGCCCTCCTTTCCGATGTGCTTTGTGCCTCTCTCTTGGATTTAGCTCGTCTCGTTTTGTTAAGAGCAATGTGAAGCGCTCTTTCTTAGATTGTTCACCTGGACAATAATCAAAGAAACAAGAAGAAAATTGAAATTTGAAGGAGCCACATTGATAGCAGAGAAGTTGGATTGATGTTTTTTTTCTGGAGGGAGAAATCAGTGAGCCAAGTTGTGTCGCGGATGGAGAAATCGGGGAGGATGAAGAAACCAGCGTTGGAAAGCCTGGCCACAATGACGTTGTTTTAGGAGGATGGCGATTCCTCTAGTTTGAGGAACACAGAGTAAGCTTGACTTTCCCCCATCGGCTTCAGTTGGAGTTATGGAAACCTGATGTTTCTTTTTGGTTTCTTTCTCAAACTATTTTTGGTTCAATTTGAGAGCTGGTATAAGTAAGAAGTGATTTCTCTTGCAACTAAGATATGGTTTCAATTGTGTTGCCGTTCAATAGATATTTGTCACGTATTAACAAAATGTATCATTTGTTAGTGACAGTTCTCTTTCTTTCATTTATTTAAAAAACAGTATTATCTACACTAAGGGGAGGGGATGAGCTTAGCCTCACGATGGATTAGGATGCAACTCGGATGGGTTGGAAGGTCAACCAATCCTAACCCAATCTACTATAAAGCTTTAGGATTTAGAGACAACGAATATAGACTGACTAATCAAAGTCTCTTATTCCCTAAAAGCTTAAGTAATTATAAAGGGTAATTTATTAAAAAGGGCATTGATTTTTGGACTTAGCCCACTTGGGTGTAGTATGAGAATTAATTGGTATTGGTTACAAATTTACAATCTGGTTAGATTGAGTTTAGTTAATCGGATTGGGTTGGGTTGGGGATAGACGGGCAAATGATCAACCCAACTCAACCCAATCGATGAACGGGTTGAAATTGAGTTGGGTTCCGGCGGGTTATAACTAAAAAAAAACTTGCTTGTTCGTGTTTAAAATTGGGTTGGACATGGACGGGTTTGGATTGGGCCAACCCAGGCTGCACCCCTATGATGGGTTATCAAAGTGAGTTCTTTTTTCTAAAGATTTTTTTTTTTTTTGGGTAAGAAAATTAAAGAGATTCTCTCTTGTTGACTAGAGGTGTTAAACGGGACAACCTGGCTTGGCCCAGCCCATTTTAATTCAGCCCACGTAGACTTAGGTCGTGCTTGGGCTGACCCACTTAATAAAATAGTAAGTCTAGCCCAGGCCGCGGCCCTAGCCCATTAAGGAATGCCCGAGCTTGAGCTGAGTCATTAAATGGGTCGACTTCAGCAAAAAAAAAAAAAAAAAAAAAATTAGTTACTTAAAAGTATTAAAAACTTATTTGAACATATTTTATAGTCAAATATCCCTAATATTAACCTTACAGTGTATGTTTTTAATTGAAAATTAATGAATAAATGGGATAGTCATAAACAGTGTTCTAAAAGGCCCTGCAACTATAATCTATAGACGGTTTGCATTTTTTTCTTTTCAAACTGATAACTTTTATTAATTAAAAAACTAATACAAAAAATGGAAAGCCCAAAGGCAATCCAAATACAAGCATAATTAAAAGTAAATACAACTGAAAAGCTCAAAAATAGCAAGCCCACAACAAAATTCCTAGATTTGGAAGGATGCAGACTCCACCACACATGTTGGGCCGCCGTTGCTAATCTGACACCACCACCAAGATGAAGAACCCACCAACCAAGAGGAAGAACCCATGAAAAACCTGAATGAATGGGAAAATGGGGGTGAGTGAGCCACCCACTGTCAAAGAGAGACACATGATGGACTGAGGAGCAAAGGTCAGCGGTGGAAGATTGACGACAAGAAGAAACATTGGAGGTAAAAAGGGACATGAAAGCCCAAATATAAGACAAGCCCAGGAAGGTTGAGACAAAGCTCAAGCTCAAGGAAATTAGAAATTAAAGACCTAAAAAGGGGGTAAGCAGAAGGCAAAAAAATGTAGGGAAGCAGGATGGAATAGTCAGAGGGAAAAAAGGGGAAGCAAAGAAAATGAGCAAGGGAGAAGGGGGAAGATGGTGGGAGAGGAAGAAGGGCTAGGATGGAGAAGTGGGAAATGTCAAGAGGAAAAAAGGGGAAGGGGGAAGTTGGTCAGAGAGGAATGATGCAAAAAGGGAGGAGAACTAGGAGACACGAAAGGGTGGAAGGCAGGCAAGCCGCCAACCCTAAGTCGAAACCAACGGCTGACGGCTAGGAGGCTTGCAAAATTAGGGTTTGGGAGAGAAGAGATGGGCATGGGGCTCTAATCCCTAGACGTTTAAAAGAAAGAAGAAAGGGCGCCTAGCCACCTAGGTGGACATAAGACAACTAAAAGAAAGAAGAAAATGGCGCCTAGCCACCTAGGTGGACATATTCACGACTAAGTGGGTTTAGACGGGCTAGGTTGTTTTTTTGTGGGTTTTTATTTATTTTTTATTTTTTTTAAGCAAATGGTTTAGGGTCGCGACTTTCTCTTAAACATTAAATAAATAACTTTTAGTTTGCATTTTATTTTTCAATAAATTGTGAGAAACTTGTTTGCTTGGATAAACTCTCATTTTATGAATTCCAATGTTTTCAATATGTTATAATACTTTATAATTGATATATAATTCTATTTTACAATTATATATTTCTTTCAAGTGCAAGTACACACTTATTTATATATTATGTAAAAATTTAATTGAAACAAAGAAAACACTGCCACTTAGTACTATGGTCTGATAGTATTCCTCTTCACTTGGAAGTGAGAGATCTTAGGTTCGAATCTAGTGGATGGTGAATTCGATACAAAATTAGGCTGCTAATTGTATGGCTTAACCAAACTCTCATTTCTCTTAATGTAAAAATATCGATGTGCTAACAAAAAAAAAAAAAAAACGCCTAGGCCTCTAGGCGTTAGGTCACTAACATTTGCCCGCCTAAGGGACAAGCTTGTGGTGTAAACATCGAAGGATTTACCATAAGCTCTTGTATCATTTCCTTGGTTACGGACAAGCTTACAAAATAAGATAAATTCCTTTATCACAAATGTATAATTATACCAAATCCTTCTACGTTCTACGCATCTACAAGTTACAGGGCATTGAATATCGAAGGAGAAGGGTTGCAATTTTAATTTTTCGAAAGGAACATTTGATCATTTCTGAAATAATAAACAGACCCGATACGAACTCTACAATTTTACTCTCCATGCCAAAACAAGTTTCTTTTCGATTTCATTTAGCAGTGATTTACCTACACTTGAAATGAATCGAGCATGGCTTTTAGCGTCTTCTGAGATGCTTGCCATTGTTTCTCACTTGCACTTACCACAAATAATACAACAGTGTTTCCCTTTGCTGTTGCCACTGCAAGATTGTGAGAACCTGTGAGAGCAAACGGGGTCTCGAGCGCATACTTGTAGTACTGCATACGAAAGGAAAGATTGAATTCATGTTGAGCTTGACTTTAGTTGTGAATGAAGGTGGATAAAAGGAAAAAACTTGAAAAGTATTTTACTTCAAGAGAGATTGTATACCGTCAAATCACCACGCTTCTCAACTGTAGTCTCAAGGAGCTCATCTGGATCGTATGTGTTTCCAGTGACGAAAGGGCCAAGAGAAGCAATTACCTTCTCAGGGTTTCCAATGTCTTCAATTGTTGCGTTCGGTTTATTGGTCAGGCGTATCAAAGGAGAAGCCACAACCTGAAGTTTTCCCTGTTTTTCGTCTTCAAATTTTACCTCCACCCACGGCTCTGCGCATTTTGGTTGGCAGTAATTACCAGATAAAATGTTTGCTACGCGCATCTGTTTCCAGGTTGGGGGAATGATGAACTGGTAGGGCTCCACATTTCCTGCAAAGAACCAAGTTTCAAGTATCATCAGTACATACATAACGAAAAACATGTTATTGACGAAAACATGATGAGCTTAAAGAATTACTGCTATTATTTTCTTTGATCTTTGTAGGTAACATAGAATGTCATCCAGATAAAATGCAACGACCAATAACAAACTCAAAATGCTGAAATCTGCACAGGATCGAAGCTATGGAGGTCAAAATTGACATGAACTCAGTAACTACCTACCCAAAAACCAACTTTCTATGGACAGACCAAACATCACTTGAACTCCAGCTTCAAGAAACTCTACTCCTTTTGCTTTCTTTCAGTCCGTATTAATATCCAAAAACTGTCATTTTACGAAAGTAGCGCACTTCACTCTTCTTAAGAGTGTTCGAAAGTCCAGTTCTGAAACTCGATGGTTTTCCCTTCTCCCTTATTTAGCATGTCTTTGCAGGAAGAGCCGATTTTCTGCTCCTGAACATTCTCCTGACCTCTTACTTCATGGACGCTAACATAAATTTTCCCTTTCGCAACAACTCTACCCTGCTCAGCCCCAACTTTCTGTAGACACATAAATTGCAAAACATATCCTGATATCCTCACAAAAGGAGCCCGTTTCCGTTGGTTGAGACTAGCTTCCGTAGAAATAGAGATTATGCACAAACAGTCGAACACCCAACATTGTGTAACCAATTTGTACATATTTGGAATGTACATGTTTCTTGGACTACTTCACCTGATTTGTTAAAACTCTTGTTAACATGTCATTGTAGTTCTTCACTTTTGTAAACAAAAAGAAAGTACCCCACCTAATTAGGAGCTGTCGATTTTCTTCAACTCAAACCAGCCTTCAAAATATGACGCGAACATCACCATGTACCTATCGGGTTACCTCCTAAATACTCCCTTCCCCTTTTTCATCCGGACAATACAAAATGCTCCTTACTTTTGCACTCCAAACAGTGTAGGATCTCAGAAGTTTGAACCACGAAATCTTCTGTAATTGAAGGATGCTCTCTCCACTCAGTGAAAACTGTGCTTATGAATTTGGAAATTCTTTTAAGATTTATCCGCAATTCTACTCGAAGCATGATAATGCTAAAGCCGGACACATTCAAACGCGGTCGGTAGGTAATTAAGCAGTAACCAAAATGTAGTTCCACAAGAGCAAAATCATCCACTCAGAACATGAGAAATATTGCGGAGTCGACTCAATCAGTTACCAACTGGTTAGCATTCGAGTGTTACTGATAAAGAAAAAATAATTTAATGAAACATGAGATAAAAGTGAAGAGAGTACCAGCGCGAAGGGCGGGAGTGTCTTTAGGAGTGGCTTTGAAGACGACGAAGGAAGAATCGGAAGGTGAGGCCGGGAGATAGGAGCCCACCACCGCATCCTTAGCTTCTGCGGAAGGCACTTTCAGTATTGTTTCAACCAGAGCCAGAGGAAGCAGACCAAGCCCTGCCTTCAGCAGCAACTCCCTTCGTTTTTGACTGGGAAGTGATGGAAGTGAATTCGGAGGAGAAGGCGAGAGAAGTGGCGTCGGTTTTGAACGTGAGGAAGAGTGGCATTTGGAGGAGGCGAGAGAGGAAGGTATTGGAGGAGTTAAAGGAGCGGTAGCCATATTCTTAAGAGGAGAAAGAAGGAAACGATGATATGATATGTATAATATTGTAGTCGCAGGCGCTGGTCCCTCCCCGCCCTTATCCGATATCATCCATTTTCTTTGTTTTTGCTTGGTTCCACTTCACTTCACTTCACCAACAATATCTAAGGGTTCATATTTGGCACGTCATTTTTTAGCATATACATATCAGGTTTTAAAACTTCCCCAGGATGAAATTTGCATGGCTTTCAGTTTTCACGCGAGGGATTTCAAAGGAATGGGCTTCATTTTTTAAGCTTCTCGTTACCAGCAGGAGTCCCGCGGCCGTTTGTACCCTTTTTAGTACTCGTTGAGCTAATTTTCCATTGTTTTCGTGCATTAAGCCTAGGAATACGTTTATTTGCTAATATGATGGTCACATTTCACTAAAGATTCAATGACCATGTCAAAAAGAACCAAAAGACATTAAGTGTTCACCAATGAATACATAATATATAATGTGGTAACCGAGTCGTTTGATTCCTTACTTTTTAATTGTATTTTTTAACACAAAACAAAAAAAGGAGTCAATTATAATTAATTAATTTAATTTTTTAATGCATGGATTCCATTGACAACCCATAGAATAAATATTAAAATCAATTTTAATTATTTTCTAATAGTTAATGTAGCTATAGGCCATCAATATAATAATAAATAAATACCAATTGGAAAAGAATAAACAAAATTTTGACATATTATTTGGAGATACTCCAAGTGGTTCACTTGGACTATGCTATGTATGAATGATCTTTTTTTTACACATGCTGGCACACTATGTATCATCATATAAGTGAACAACATGATTGATATGTCTCTAGTTAACCAATGAATACGTAATATATGATGTGACAGCCGAGTCATTTGATTCCTTACTTTTTAACTGTATTTTTTGACACAAAACAAAAAAATGAGTCAAATATAATTAATTTAATTTTTTTAATGCATGGATCCCATTGACAATCAATAGAATAAATATTAAATTCAATTTTAATTATTTTGTAATAGTTAATGTAGTTATGGGCCCTGCCACTTAGTGCTATAGTCTAGTAGTATTTCTCATCACTTGTAAGTGAGAGGTCTTAGTTCGATTCTCGCCAAAGACGAATTTGAACTACATTATTGCTAGTCCATAGTGAGGCTAAACCCACCCTCTACTTCTTAGTGTAAATAATATTTTAAAAAGTAGCTATGGAACCTCAATATAATAATAAATAAATATTTGACACATCAATCAGAAAATAATAAGACTTAACATTTGTATTCAATTAGCCACATCTGCCATCAAATAAAACTTTGACATTTTATATTTGACATCTATTTTTGCGATGCTCTAAGTGGTTCACTTGGACTATGCTACGTATGAATGAATGATCTTTTTTATTTTTAATTTTAATTTTATAGAAGATCCTGGTCCTTAAGACTATTTGTTGAATATTCTCTTTGCTCTTTCAAACTCAAAACACATGCTAACACACCACGTGTCATCGTATAAGTCAGCGACATGAAGTTAAGACACAGGCTTTTGTTTGGGCCTTGTTAAGACATAGGCTTTTGTTTGGTTTTACTAGAATTAACGAGTTGTCTTGGGCGGTGTGGTCAGTGGTAACACCAGAAAGTTGTAAGAAATGAAAGGACTAGGAAATCCAATGTCGCCAATATGGTGGTGGAACTTCTCCAATATGCAGTTTCAGCGGAATTTCCTGTCAAGTAATTTAGGAGCAATTCACCAAGTGATCAAATTCCGAATTAGGGATTGGGAGTAACGCCGAAGTTTCCTGTGGTTCCGTTTGTGAGTTTTGGATCAAATCATGTGCATGATGCAGGTGCTTCTCCGGCAACAATCCTACTGCCATCAATTCCTTATCCACCTCTTCTTCTTCTGTCTCTGTCAGTCTGCAACTCTTTCTCTCCTCGGAAAAAATGGCGGGAACCATGTTAAGTCATCCACGACCGCAACCTCCGCCAGCCATGGCGCGCAGCAAATCGCTGTGCCTTCAACAGTCCCAATCTCTCGAGGAATCACGTTGGAGGTTCAGGTCCTTCCCGTACAAATCAGGTTCGTTTCTCTTCAGTCGTAGAGCAAGGAGAACATGAGCCTGATAGAAAAGACAAACGTCGTCGAAAACATTCTCATTCATTTCAAAATATAGCAGAAATTTCGAATCATATTTCGCTTTTGTTTACATAGTAATTAGGCTGCTTAAGCCAAGTTTTGCATCTGATCTTAACTATTCATTGCTTAATCCATATGTGGTGCATTTTACAAAAGAACTAGTGAATTTTACCTAATATGGCCACGTTTGTGCCTAAGGTTGGATTGTATTTGACAACTCGCTGGATTGAAGGTATGTTGAAGGAAGAAATGGATTTCAATTTCCAAATTTTGTCCAAGTTGAGTGTACAAGATGGATTAGTACTGAAGAAAACTTATCCTTTACAATCCTACCAGTTTGTCGGGATTGGAAAGGATAAGTATCATTCACGACTAATTCATTTAATTCTTTAGCTTGGACAGAATTTGGAAGTTGGCATTCATTTCTGCAGGGTTACATTACGGGTTGAACTTAAGCCCTTGTTAACTGCCTTGGTTATGGACGACTGTTTTGCTGTTCAAATATGACATACCTAATTAGGATTAAGTGTTCAGTTAGAAATTCACAATAGGCCGCAGAATGCTAAGCAGATGACCCAAGAGTGATCATTTTTGGTACTTAGAGTTTGATATTATACTTTATGAAGGAGAGTTTAGAGAAGGTTATCACATAATTAGAGTGCGATGTTGAGAAATCATTTTGGCGGCACTTGGAAGGATAGAATAAGACATGGGATTTTCTTAACAAGAGGGAAATATTTCCAATTGAGATGGTTTAGTCATAGACAGTTAGGGATGCTCCGGTAAGTAAAGAGTGATCTGATAAAGGGGAACGCCTAAAATAACATGGAAAGGGTTGTGAAAATGAATATGATCACAACAATTGACGAAAAGCATAGCCTAAGATAAGACTGATGGAGGAAAAGGTTCAATGTAGCCAACACTAACTAGTCAGCATTAAGGCTGAGTTGAGCTGCGTTTGGCATGTGTACTTGAAAAAAGAGAACTTCTGAGAAAACTTGTATAGTTGCTATCAAAAGTCATCCATTTATTTTCAGATTAGAGGGCTTACTTTTTCTCCACCCACCCCCCTGAATATTGTAGGAGAAGTTGCAGATTACAGTCCAGATTTTGGAAAGGCTGCATTTCAAGCTTTGATGAAATGTGAGTTTCCTCGAATCAAGATAAGAATAAGGGTGTTTTTCTCTTTATTGAGATGCTAGGTACGTATAGGATTTTCAGTCACTGTTTGGTTGTGCAGGGTCAGATAGTTTGAACATGGAGGAGAACCCCAGCAGGTTGCCTTTGCTCGGAAAAGGTTTCGGTGATGACAACAGCACCTATTACAAGGAACACAACCTGACAACAGTAATGTTAAAAACTCATAATCTTGATGAAATAATTTTGTTTTGTACATATCTTGCCATAATTTTGTAATTAACTGCACACACCTATGATTTCAGGGATCCGATGATTACAACCCCAGTGAGTTGCTTTTAACTAGTGATAGCCCACATGCTTACACTGACTATGACGAGCGTGGCAATGTGGCAACGGTAGTGGCAAAATCTCATAACCGTATCTAGACCTTCTTTTTCATGTTTTCCTGCACATTGAAATAGTTTCTTGCACAGTCTAATCCAAGCGAGTCTCCTTTACCTTGCATTAGTCCTCATGCTGATGCTGACTATGACAAGCCAGACAATGTGGCAGGGATAGTTGAAAATCTTATAACCATAATTGAACCAATTTTTTTATGGGAACTTTAATGAAAAGCTCCCGATACGGTTCACTCTAACGAAAAATCACATTTTTACTCTAAAAAGTCAATCCTGGTACTATTCACTTACAACACCTTTTTGTCTTTTTCGTTAAAACTCAAAGTTTTCAAGCCTTTTCATTAGTTTTCCTCTTTTTTATTTACATATTTTCTTGCAAGATCTGTATAGTTTTAGCTGAACTAATTGACAATTTCAGGGCTCTGATGATTCCAACCGCAGTGAGCCGCTTTTACCTAGCGTTAGTTCACATGCTACTACGAACTATGGGGAGCAGGGCAATGTGGCAAATGTAGTGGTAAAAACTCATAACCATAACCATGACTAGACCGTCTTCAATCTTCATATTGTCGTGCACATTGAACTTATTTACATGTAGCAGGGATAGTGGTATAATCTCATAACCATAATTAAACATATTTTTTACTTTGACATATTGCAAGGTCGGTAAAATTTTGGTTGAACTTTTAACAATCTCAGGGCTCTGATGATTCCAACCTCAGCGCGTCACTTTTACCAAGCGTTAATCCTCAGGCTAATACGGACTTTGGTGAACCAGGCAATCAAACAACGACAGTGGTAAAAACTCAAACTATAATTAATCATTTTTTCTCACTCGTCCTGTGAGATAATTAGTTTTATCTTTTATTAAGCGTACAAATAGTTGAAGGGCTTCTCACAGATCATATTTGCAGGGCCCTTCTAGTTCAAGCGTTGTGGTTAACATTGGTGTTGACTTTGACCACCCACGTCATGGAACAAGAGTAATGCTCAAAACTCACTACGATATTAAACCAGCGTCGTTTAATCTTTTGAGAGGTTTATTTGGCGATTTAATAACTTACTATAACTTCCTCGTAGGTTACCAGATGCCAGTGGATCTTTATGCTCAATGGTCTCAGCCTAGAAATGTTGTCAGCCTATTTTGATCAGTTATCCTCCCCAAATAATTCTCGTTATGCACTGGTTAGTTTGCTGTTAGCCATTGCAGCTGTGCTTACTTGCATCGTGGAGCTCATTCACAATGGTCTAAAGGAAGGAGTTGAATCTACCAACTGCACGGTTTTCGGTACTTTGCCTGATATTTTTGGTTTGGGTCTTTCCCTTATCCAATGTATTTGCTCAGCAGTGCAGTATCATTTCCTCCATCGGCATGAAAATAATCCTATGAAACTATCCCCTGTGCCTCTCTTCTTTTTCTGCTGTTTGGTGGTTTTGAAATTGAAAATGAACTAGAGCTACACTGTCATTCGGAATGCAAACCTGGTGACAGTAGACAATATGGCTCATTGATTGTGTGCCCGTCTCATTATTCGTTTGTCGCACCATTTATCTATTAGAAGCCAAGTGCCAACGATTAGATTTCGATCTTGCAGATGAACTTGTAACCACTCAATGAATATATATACATATATATACATGCCTAAAATATGTATGCATGCCTAATGTTTTAACAGTTTATCTTGTTTGTTCTCCGGCTGGATCCATGCTTCAGTGGGTGGGCTTCACTTTTATGGTGTTTATATGTTCTGGTGCGTTCATCTTCTTTTCTTTTAGGCTTTTTGGTGTGTGTTGGTTTGGCTTTCGGCTCTTACTTAATCTATCCTGTTTGTATAACGTGATGTCGTTTCAGCTTTTTAATGAATGCTGAACCTCACAGGCACATTGTTTAAAACTAGGGAACCCAGAAGTTGGGGTCTTTCTAGTTTTATGAAACGAGGACTGAGCCGATGAAGGACAGATTTGCAACGTTGCCTTTCGATCCCGGTATCCGCAAATATGCAGATTACTTTGAAATCATTTAACCTGGGAAAACATCTTGTGTGTTCTTGGAGTGCTTTTACGTTTTCAACATCCAAACAGTACTAGCTTGTAAGTGAAAGGTCTTATGTTCGAATCTCGTGTATGGCAAATTCGATACCAAATTAGGCTACCCAATATGTGGCTTAACCGAACTCCCCCTCCTTTGAGTGTAAAAATATTGATGTACTCAAAGAACAGTACCAGCTTGTAACGTCCAACAGTAGTTCCTGTAGCAATTGATTGGGTTGGGGGAGGAGAATTTGAACCAAAAAAAGGAAACAACCTTTCTAACCCAGAAAGTAATAGGTTGTCTCTACGGGAAGTAATTTATGTGTACACCAGCCGCACACGGGAGGGGGAAACAAGGTGAGAGTAACCCTAGGGATTCCGGGTTTTCCGTATTTTCGATATTTTTGGTTTTCTACGTAGCTTCAACCAAGTTTGGTTATTGTTGATTATCACTTTTTTTTTTTTTTTTTTTTTTCACTAAACTCATAATCCAATTATGCCTAGAAGTATCTAGCAATCAGTATTATAGTTGAAGTAGTATTTTTATTTACTTGTAACTAAGAGGTTTTATGTTCGGCTTACATGAATGACAAAGACGTATTGTATTTGTGTTAAGTTCAATATCAATTATTAAAACAGATTGTGCTTTTAAACTAAAAAATAAATAAAGAGACCACGTGGTTATAGCTAACTTATTAAATACATTAGATTTGAGCATTAGGATATTTAGCTCTATTTTTAAGTGATTTTCACACATTTTTCACATATTTTTAACATTTGATGAAGTTACTTTAAGGACCAAACTTTTAAGCCCTGATTTGGGATTGAAGTGATTTTAAAAAAAGTGGGTATGAAAAAAAGTTTGGAGGGTTTTTGGTGTTTGGTAAACTCTCAAAATCAACTTTATTTCAAAGTTTTAAATGGAAAAAAAGCTAAAAATGGGAAGCTTCAGAAAGCAGCTTATTTGTGAAAACACGTAGCTACAATAATTTTATTAATGAAATTTTCAAATTGTCAACAATGCCCTCCTTTCTCTCCGCCTTCTCTCTCTCGCATGCCCTCCTTTCGCAGAACACTCAAAGAATCTCGCGCGCCCTCTTCTCCTCTGTTGCCTGCCGCTACACCTCTTCCTCCTCCTCCTTTCCTTTCTCTCCGTTGGTCTCAGCGCCACAGACACCGCTGTCGCCTTCCCTCCTTCTCTCGCCGTCGCCTTCCCTCATTCCTTTGGTAAGCTTCTCTTGTCTAAAATTTTGTTATTTATTTGTTTGGATTTTTAAATTTGGGGATGGGGAGAGTGAGAGGGGTGGGAAGAGTGAAGGGATGAGTGTATGGGTGTTGGGAAAAAAACTGGGGATGAAGAAAACAATTGGGGAAAAAAAAATTAGGGTTTGTGGAGGAAACAAGAAATTTTGAAAGAGAAGTAAGAAAAATTGATTACTTCTTTATTCATTTTCCTTGACTGATCTTGATGCATGTTAAGCGTGAGAAGTGATAATGCATGTTTGTTCCCTGAATCTTGTTTTGGATTAAAGAGTTATTTGTGTTTTTGTTGGTTAGGGAAGAGGTGGAGGAAAATTTGGAATTGTTACGATTGGTGTTGGATTTGAGCTTATCGCTTCTTTTCTGATACAAGGTTGAAACCCTCATCCATGCACTTGAGAAAATTGCCAAGTTGAAGATTCCCCTGCTGATTTGTGCATATTTGAACTCTGTGCCTCAAAGGTTAGCCTTCTGCTATTAGTGATGAACTAACGATGAGTTGAGTTTTGCATGTTAATAAAAGTGAGAGGGAGAATAGAAGTGATGCAATGCAGGTACCTTGTGTTTTGTTGCAGAATTTTGTATAAAAAGGTGTATATCAGGTTTGGGTTATATGTTGATATTTGCAATTTAGGAGATGTTAGAATCATCCAATAAGCTTGAATTTGTTGGTCTTCTCTGATGAATATTTTGATTTGAGTTTTATGGTAGGCATCTTACAATCCCTTTGGTAATTGCAGCGTTTTTGTTCACTTTTGGTGTAGCATAAGGTTAAGTTGTTTAATTGTTTTGTGATTGCTGGTACGCAGAAGGTTTAGATTAATGGGATATGTATTGGATGTTAGATGTTGCAACTTATCTCACTATGTCGATTAGTCCATGGTGCATGATTGGCTTGGTCATCTTACCTTACCCTATTGGCTCTTGGATTTTCAATGGACGGTATACTTTGTTGTGGGTATTCATTTTATGCTTTCATTTTCACTGGCTCTTGGATTTTCATTGGACGGTATACTCTTGGTAATCTTACCTTACCCTACTGAGTCTTATGCTTTTATTCATTTTATTTTAATAAAATGAGAATTAGTTTGCCTACTATACCTGTATCTTTTCATCCGGGTTACCATTTGTTCTGTTTTCAGACAATGTTGAGCTTGGTACAGCATGTGGAAAGTACTTCCGAGTGTCTTGCCTTAGCATCATTGATGCAGGTACTCCATAGTTTTCGTATCATTCTACGCAATTTGTTTACCGACCTGTGAAAAACTGATTTGGCTAACGTTGTCATTTGGTATTATCTTTAGGTGATTCGGATGTTATCAAGACGCTACCTGGTGGTCAGTGAAGGAGGGTAGGACGATACCTCTATGTTAAGTGTAGTGTTTTGTTTTGAGACTTGTCAATTGTCATCTCCGAATGAAATTCTCGATTTTCTTTGACAATGTTGTGTTGCTAAGTTTCCAAATGCTTAGATTCTACTGTATGTGTAAGGTGATCTTCATTGTGACTTGATGCATGGCATCCTGAGATTCATTAAAGTTAATTCTGTTACATTAGATATCTCTTTCAGGGTTTTTTCTTCGAACCTTGAATTGAAATGCTTACGCTAAGTAATTAAGCAAAAAATAGTGTAGTATGAAATGCTGGATAACAAGATAGGTTTCAGTTTGGTGTGGGATTTTGCTTCTTTAGATACCATTTTTGTTCATAAGTGTTATTGAAGGGCTGATTTGGTAGTGCTGTGCTTTGAAAAAAATAAAGTATATTTAGTAATTCACCTTTATTTGTTAAGAAAATTAAATTAATGGCACATCTAGTGTTATATCATTTTTAGGTCATTTTACACCGTCACAACTATTTTACATAAAAGTTTACCAAACACTATAATACTGTTTTTTTTTTTTCAAAAGCAATTTTACAAAAAAGTTTACCAAACACTCTGCTGCTTTATTTCACAGTTGCTTATTCTCACAGCACAGTAGAAGCAGTTTTTTTTCAAAGCACAAAAATACCTAACCAGCCCTAAATTGTGTCAACAAAAATGTTGTGCCGCTGGCATACCCAAAACCAAGAGAAAACCTATGTCACGTTCATATCATATTATTACAAGAGTCAGGTGAGTTTCTCTTTGAAAACTTTAACAAAAAACTCCTGGTACTGTTTATTTTAACGAAAAACTATATTTTTACATTAAAAAGTCAATCATGATATTATTCATTTTACCCTTATCGTTAAAACTTAAATTTTCAAATTGTTTTCATTAGTTTTCTTTTCTTTCATGCCTCTATGCCATTACTAGGTCTGGAAATTTCATTATTGCATTTATTTATCTCCTTTTCTTATATTTATGCTTTTGGGTTGTTTGATTTCAAGCTGGATTTGTATTATCACTCTGTTTCAGAATCTGGAAGGTTGGTCTCCCTTTCTCAAATAGTGTTGTGATATATTGGAACAATATATATACATATATATATATATATGTATGTATGTATGTATGTATGTATGTATATCTCCTTAAAGAAAATTATATGACCATGGATTTCTTTTATTCGTTTTTGAAGATTTATTTCCTTATTCTGTTCACTATATTTGTTCCCTTTTTTTCAACCCTTATGTGTTCAATCATGGACTGCTACCAGTAATTGATTCTGGTTGGTCATCATCAACTGAGTATGTGAAGCTGGGTTTTGTTCAATTCCTCGTCTTCTTTCTGTATTGTCTCGTATTTAAGTTTAGGATTCAGTCTTAACATAAAATTTCGTTCATGTCTCTGTCGACGTTTAGTTTGAATGGAATCCTAATCTCAAAAGGGTTGTTCTTAATCTTCGTAGAAATGTTTTCAATTTAAAATATGTCTACTTGGATAGATGAAACCGTCATTGTTTGAAATTTCAAATTGTTATAATGCTTCAGGTATATAAATAATTTACAATATGGAAGGTATGGTAGTAAGAAGGGTTATTCCCTCAGACAATGGTTGCCTCTTCAATGCAGTCGGGTAAGCTCCAATACAACCCTCTATTTTATCCGTTGTCGCAATGAAAGTGAACTGTGTCATTTAAGGTCAAATTTTCTTTTCAATTTTCGCCCTTCGTTTGCAGGTATGTAATGGATCATGACCAGAAAAAAGCTCCTGAATTGAGACAGGTATTTGAATATTCAAGGCTTAAGTTAAATTAAATCATACAACAATAGATAAATCATGGCTGCATGTGCATATATACCTCCAGATTTGCATTGAGCATGCATAAGTGTGGTACTTCCTAATCAATTCTTGTACTTGCATTTTGTGACTCTCTGCGATGTGAAGGTTATAGCTGCAACGGTAGCAAGTGATCCCACTAAGTATTCAGAAGCGTTTCTTGGTAAATCGAATGAAGAGTATTGTGCTTGGATTCTTGACTCAGAGAAGTGGGGAGGTTTGTTTAGAAAACTTCCTGTTGTTCTGCATCTGAATCTTGGTTACCAAACAAATGCACAATGAAAAGCTTTTCTTGTAATAGTTTGGGTTATTTATTTCTGATAGCCAACTAAGAGCTCATATGGGAAGTGTTTTTAAATGACTGAAAGTGCTTTTAGAGGAAATGTTTTTGGGTTCCAAAAGCGCTTTAAGTGCTTTTTATTTCTAGGATTAACTTGCATTTTTACTAAGATGGTCCCAAAAACGTTTTTTTTTTTTTTTTTCTAAAAGTGCTTTCAGTCCTTTAAAAGCACTTCTCAAACGAGCCCTAAGTAGCCAATCCTTATTTACGCAAGACAGATATATATCTTCTTCTGGGGTATTGAGCATTATTGGATTCATTAGTTGACAAAGTGTTTCTGCCTTGACTGTTTAATCTTAAAGATAGTTTATTCGGCCACTGTCTAGAAGATTAACTTCGAAGTCTCTGTCCCAATAAATCAATGGGATACTATTAGATTCGTTTTCCTGACTTGTTAATTTGTAATCACCTGGCAGGGGCCATAGAGCTGTCTATATTAGCAGATTATTACGGACGGGAAATTGCAGCATATGATATCCAGACTACACGTTGTGATTTGTATGGTCAGGTTAGCATTAGTAGTGAGTTTTCGTGCATATTATTCTTGTCAGCTTGCCAGTTCTGACTGTTTATGCCCATTTTTGTATGTGGTGCTGTTTGACAGGAGAAGAAGTATTCAGAAAGGATTATGTTGATCTATGACGGACTTCATTACGATGCTTTAGCCGTATGTGGTCTGATTCAATTTATGTCAATTTGCTATTTCTGAGTTTTTCTGGTTGTCAATTTTGACGGACTCAAAAAGTGGCATCGCTATGGCCTCAAGTATTCTTCCAGCATTCAACCCAAACTGTATGAACCAGATAATCTTACTCATCTGTTCTGTTGTATGGGTTAGGGCATATTGAAAAATTTGGAGGGGGGGGAGGGGATGAAAAAACTACCATGAGTTGGGAAAATTATAGGTTTAAAGTATTTAAAAAGAGTGGTCTTTATTGGGCATTTGGGTAGTTACAATCTGTTTCTCGTCATCCTTCTATTGAGGGGCTTGCCCTTAACGCTGTTTTTGCATTCCTCTGTTTGTAGTTGATGGGACCAGAGATCTTCCATTTCCTAGAAGAAACTAAAATGAAACTCTCGTAACAAAATACATCATATTACAGAGGGAAATGTTATCGTTTTTCGCCTACCATTTTCAACAAATGCTGTCTTCTAGATTCGAAATGATACAAATAATGATTCACGCCTTCTAAATCGCTTGCAAAGACCCCCGAAACCAGAAGTGGGAGTCCAAGATCATCCGCATTTTATTCAGAGACTCCTCGCGACCGTAGCAAAAAGTTGTACCTTGCGCGGTGAGAAATGTAACTACTTATTCTAGCCTGGGTTTGTCATTTTCGTTTTATGAGCAACCTCTGCCTCACTACTTCTAGATCTTCTGTTTAAGAACATGACGCAATTGGACCTTATGACTCTCCAACCTTGCCTCCAAAAGCTTCGCCTTCAAGCTATGCTTCTGTGCACCAAGCGGGATGCACCCCTTCATACCTCGAATGTGATGCCCCGTCTCAGGAGAACTCCACTGCCCCACTAAATCAGAGGGGCTAAGCCCACCTTTACCCGAACCACGATCAGGGGATACCATACCCCCAGTAGATATCCTTCCATTCGAAAGCCTACCATTTATTCCCTCTAGCGCGATTATCTTGTAGTTTTCCCCATTATTTTGGCTGGATCTCCAAAGCCTTGCTATTGACGATACCTTCTTCGCCTGCTTTGTTGGCACCGAGCAAACCTCGCTGATTTCAGTAATTGGTGTTTCCTCACCTTCTTCTTCCCATTCTGTTCCACACTCTGAGACATTACTCTCTCGGCAATTCTTATTGACAGATGGGGCACTCCCATCTGGCGAATAGCTTGAGCCCTGATCCTCGAAATGGCTCACAGTTTCCCAACCACTCTCATCTTCTTCTATATCACCATTACGACCAACAAATGCAACTGGATGTCTCTGGATCCGGTCCTCATTGATTCCATTGCCTTCAGGACTCACAGTATGAATTTTCGAACCATGGCTAGCAGGACTGTAAGCAACACACTGCTCAATCTCCCTCTCATTAGGCTCACCGAAATTAACTTCTTCGAACACAGACAAGATATCATCAGGATTTGGGGGTTCATAAGAAAAGTCCTTGACTTCTTGAATATTTACAGCAGCAGCAGCCTGTCGCAGATACTCTACTTCTCTCATTTCCTTCACATCTGGCATTACACTTCTTGATGTCAGAAAATTCTCCAGATCTGCCAAAAGCTTGTTCATCAGAGAATACCTCTCCTCAACTGCCACCTTTGCATCAACAAGCTTCATTTGGACACGTTCCTCCCGCCAGACTTCCGCCATCTGCAACATCTTCCTTTCCTCGTCTACTTCCTCTCTGAGTTTCATGGATTCTCTCTTCAATGCTTCAACTTCAGCCTTGTCTTCTCCAATTTCCTTAGCAAGCTCATCACATACTTCCTCAATTAATTCTCTGGCCTTTCTTTCTTTCTCGTAGTCCTGCATGTATCGCTTTGCTGATAACTTGACATCAGCAAGCTCATTAACCAATTTGGAATTGAGTATCTCAGTTCTCTGACGACTCTTCCGTTCCTGGTTCAATTCAGACTTGATGTCATCAATAAATGCACGGACTTTCTCATGCTCTCTGCTCCTCCATGAAACTCTTTCCTCACTGACATTCCTTAAGAAGTGCTCAAGTTTCTTTTTTGAGGAACGCCGTTCCATCTCAAGCTCCTGAATGCGAGCTCGAGCCTGCTCTAGCTCAGCTTCAAGTACAGATACAACTGATACAGCACTCGCTCGCTGGTCAAGAAGCTTCATTTGGCTGTAAATTTGCCGTACCTCATCTGATGTTTTCAAGCAGACTGGATCCCATTTTGTTTGCCCCTCCATGACAGAGTTGGATAACTGAAATGAAGGTTGAAGCTAAAATTAGAAGTAACACCACAGAAGAAAAAACAGACCTTAAACTGTTATGGGGGAAACAGATGTATAGTACAAAATTTAAAGAAAAAGGACGAGACAGCTTGTTATATAATTTGAAGAGAATATATACGAGTGACATGTTTCTTAGCCAGCTGAGATACACCCGAACGCATTTCAGCATTCCATATTTGAACCAACAATCCATACACGTACATATGCATATAATAAGAAATTTTCATATTGTAGCCCTTTCTTTATTTGGAAACCCACCAAGCCTTAGTTGCGCATAATCTGAAATTACCTCCTCATGATTCTCCCTCTCACAAATTTCCATATTTTCCCTAGAGTTTTCTAGGATTGGAATTTGGAAATGCTGCTTTTTAAATAGCTGAATCTATTGATTAGGTTAAAAGAAATCGGTTTAAGTCCCATTTACACCAAATTTCTCTTTTCTACTTTATTTTCCATCCATATAAGATCACTACTGTCTAATTCATAGTTGTGTATATGTCCAGTTAAATATTTACAACAACAAATCCTATCCCACTAAGTGTAGTCGGCTGTATGAATCTAGAACACCACTGTGCTAGGTTTTGCGCCAAGTCTTCTTTTAGCTCCAAGTACTCCATCTTTTCTTAAAAGTCCCTTTCCAGTTAAAAATTTAAAGGGAAATTTTATCTGAACTCATATAATTTCACTCTACGTGGGTGTAGAGAGTAAGTTGGGCGTAGACTGAGATTATATAGGTTCAAATAAAATTTCTCATATTTAGCCCGTAAGCAATCCTAAGAGTAACACTGCTTCAACCTAATAACATAATATTCAATTTCTGGGGACAGCAAAACAGATGACTACGAATACTAGAATTTACATCTGTTTTCATTCCAAAAAGACGGTTCTTAATGAGTATGCATGACGCCAATCCTTGCAAAGTAAATCATCTGCCAAGGTTCATGCCAAATAGCTTGCCTTAAATGGAGTGCTCGGCATGTGTCCCACGTGCACAAGATGATAAAGGGGTTGTATTGTACTTGCTTTTAAAAAAAATAACTATATCACCTTGTACTTAAAGTTCATAAATTCAGAATTTACAGATCATTGTAAGAATTTACGGAAGAGCCATACCTTGGACAAGAATCCATTTCTTGAGGTGGACCTAGGGCTTTGTAAAAGATCATTTGCTTCAGAAGCATATGTTTTACTGTTGCGATTACGGAGAAATGGTACCCCGATATGGCCGATGTCAGGCTGCAAAGAAGACATCAACAATGAAAATCAAAATCCAGAGTATACCACAACATTAATACCGGCTGATGAGGGTAAAGCATGCTATGACAAGATGTACTAAAACAGCACGCAAGAACCCAGAAATCCCGGGACATGGCAAAAGAATGTGTAATGACCCGGAACTTTCAGAATGCATCAAACCGTTGCATAAATGTCGTTACCACCGTATCTTGAAGATCACAGTTCCACGTTTTAATACATTCACATAAACTTAACAACACTAATCAAAATTAAGAAAAAGGTCTGAAAAGATCTTAACAATCAATTAATTACCAAATAAAGAGATACTCAGCAGGAAATTGATGGAAACATACAAGCATTACCACATTAGTAAAGATTTCACCCCGAAACCCATAAGAACACATTCCGAAAAGAAAAACGAGCACCATTTCTTGCTAATTTTCGAACACATTTCCTCAGTAAGATCAATCAGAGTTGAATCACAGCTCAGTAAACCATGAAATACACAATGCCGGGTTTCTTGAACCCGAATAGGGAAAATCGAAAGGAAATACGAAGATATCAGCACCAACATTAGTATTTATCAAACTAAAAAAACAGCAAATTTAACAACATCCAATGAATAACGAGAAAATTAAACAACTTTGATTGACAAAAATATGGTCAAACTCCAATCAAATGAGATTCAACCAAGTTTGCAAAGCACACCATTTGACCAAAAAATTACAGATCTTTGAAACCAAGCTCACCTGAAACCCTAGCTGGCCATTCCGTCCAGGTACACCGGAACCCATCTCCGGCGACTGCAGCCGCCACAGTCCGGCGGCTAACTTCCTGGCCGACAAGGAGGCCTCCTTTCCCTTCCTGCCCTTCCTCCTCCCTCCGTCCACTCTCTCCTCTTCAGGGGCATTTTGGTCCCTTCCCCTCTCCCCGTGCCCCTGGCGCTCTTCGGGGCCTTGGTCGATCTTCCACTTGAGTAAAGGCGTCTCGGGTCGGCTCCGCTTTCCTGTCGGAAGTCCGGCCCGCTTCAACCGGACCGAACCGGGTGCCCGGGTCTTCTTGCGAGTGGTGGTGGGTCTGTGGAGGTGAAGATCCGAGTCCGGCGGTGGGAATGTTGGTGAGGGGTGGCGGGGCTTGCTGGGTATCTTCATCTTCTGGAGTGAGATTCAGCCATTTAGAGAAAGTGAAGGGGTTTTATGGTGTGTATGCAGTGTGGGTGCAGTGTAATGGGAAGGAAGTACAGAAGATAGAGAGAAGAAGAAGATATGACGATGAGAGAGAGAGGGGAGAGAGCGAGAGAGAGAAAGAGAGAGAGAGAGAGAGAAAGTGACGCGGAGAGACAGAGACAGAGACGCACACAAGCACACAGACATGTACAGGGAGGAGGTATTTTAGGTATAAATACAGTGTTACAGTGTGGACATATACGAACGTGAATTCCTATGTATGTATTTTTATACGGTTAACTACGTATCTTACTCGTCAGATTTCGAGGTTGGTGACAACGACAGCTGTTGCACGAAGTCGTTTACAAAAACAGACGACGTAGTTTAAAGGGTTTTAATTAGCGTATAACCCTTTTAATAACAAAAGTAAAATAATTGCCGTATAAAAATGTTTTATTTTTAGCTAAAAGATTCACTTTTTTCTTTTCTTTCTCAAATGATCACATTTTGTGAAAGTTAACTAAATATAAATTGCTTTTTTTTTTTTAGGAAAACTAATGGAAATGACTTGAAAACTTTGAGTTTTAACGATAAAGAAAAAATAAAGTGTAAAGTGAATAGTATCAGATTTGACTTTTTAGTGTAAAAATGTGGTTTTTCATTAAAGTGAATAATACCTCAAGTTTTTCGTTAAAACTTTTTTTTTTTTTGTTAGAATTGTTTGGATCCAAATTTACACCATCGGCCCGTGCAATCAAGGTCATTGAGTGAGCATAGCTCTCAATCGTTGGATGAAAAGTAAAGATAATTTTGTTATTATTGAAAGATAATATTATGATTTGTATCATAATAATTATCGTTTAACAAATTATCTTGA